TTGTATCACATATTTTTAAAAATTATGAGAGATTTTGCATGTTTCCCATTCAATCTAGTGGATTGTGTACCCTAATTAAAGTTAGATAATTAGCAAAGACAAAATGATAAACACTCGAAAATATATTCGTTTAAATCATCTGCAACTAAGTCATGTCACAACGAAAAAGAATTAAAAAGCAGGCTTTTGGGCACACGATAAAGGGAAGTGGATAGAAGATTCTTCTTGACTAGAACTGGATGAAGGGTCACCAGAGTGGTCAGGGTAGAGCCTTCTTACATGGATGGATGCTCGATCCTACACAGAATTGCAGAGATTAACACCACGATCTTTCTATATAGACTCAAAGCTCTTCATAGTCAGACGGATACAAAATATTCTTAACGAACACTCGACTATTTATGCGTGTAAATTATTGTTCCATGTTTACTTTTTTCTTCTAATATTTATTGGGTTAATTAATTTAAATTTAGAAACCCAAAAAAAATAAAGGAAAATAGAAAGATAAAGGCAAAGGTGATAATGGATAATAAAGCAAACATTGGGATTGTGCCTTGAAGAATCCTTTTAGATCAAGAAAAGTATAAAGTGGAGAAAGAAGTTTCTACATCTTCTTTTTATCCCCTTTCACTTTTTTAACTTCCACTTTTAATCAAATATATATTTTGTCTTCTCATTTGAAACAAAAGGGAGATGTTTGTGACGTTAATTCAAATCACAATTAAATTTATTGTTTTTTTTAAAGTAAAAAGAATCTCTTTAGTCTTTGCACATCACTAAACAGATTTCAAATCAATCAATGTGTGCGCAAATGAACACTATGATAATAAAATAGATTATGATACAAGAAAGAAGATAGTACAAAATCACGTGAATAATTTGTGATATTCGCCACCTAGCACTCAAATTTGTAACGTTTAATCATGCACGAATATGTAATCTTATTAAAAATTAAATCAATTATTAAGTGAGAAATCGCACTTGCATATTTCACGTATGTAGCAAGATTAGATGAAAATTTAGCTATGGTTTTGTCTCCATTTTTTAAAATTTATTTTCGACCACACATTTTATGAGACATTGAGACCCATAATTTTTGTCAATTTTTCAACTACATAGTTTTTCAAATTTTATCATAATTTACTAAATTTATAATTCTAATTAAACCAAACCGTGGCTTAAAGGCCAACTTGACTTGCAATGTGTAGTTGATTTGCAGGATTCTATCAATTATGTGTTAATATTTGAGGTTCCATTTTAAAAGAACATTTTTTTTTATAAATTGGTCTATATTTTCATTTTTATCCGATATGAAATTATATTCCTTAAAATGTCCCGCCAAAATATTGACTCGATTGAGCAGTCAAATCTTGAAATTCGGGGTGCTCATTTTTATTTTTATTTTTTGAGTCCTAATCAGATCGAACTGTTCATTGAAACTTAATGGACTCTGATACCATGTTATGATTTTGATGTTTCATTTTAAAAGGTCAACTTTATTAAGAGGAGTAACTCAAACCCTTATAAATTGGTCCATATTTTCATCTTTATTCGATGTGGAACTCTATCCTTTAATACTATGCCAGTAGAACATATGGTGACAGTAACTCGAGTAAAGCCTTCAATGGGCTTGAGTAGCCCATTTTCCTTTGTATTGGGCTTTCAGCTGTGGATAGAGAATGGGGTACTTACAAAAATACCCTTAAAATTAGAGATGTTTTGAAAAATCATGTGAAAAACCTAGCACTCAAATTTGTAACGTTTAATCATGCACGAATATGTAATCTTATTAAAAATTAAATCAATTATTAAGTGAGAAATCGCACTTGCATATTTCACGTATGTAGCAAGATTAGATGAAAATTTAGCTATGGTTTAGTCTCCATTTTTTAAAATTTATTTTCGACCACACATTTCATGAGACATTGAGACCCATAATTTTTGTCAATTTTTCAACTACATAGTTTTTCAAATTTTATCATAATTTACTAAATTTATAATTCTAATTAAACCAAACCGTGGCTTAAAGGCCAACTTGATTTGCAGGATTCTATCAATTATGTGTTAATATTTGAGGTTCCATTTTAAAAGATCATTTTTTTTTATATATAAATTGGTCAATATTTTCATTTTTATCCGATGTGAAATTATATTCCTTAAAATGTCCCGCCAAAATATTGACTCGATTGAGGCTTGAGCAGTCAAATCTTGAAATTCGGGGTGCTCATTTTTATTTTTATTTTTTGAGTCCTAATCAGATCGAACTGTTCATTGAAACTTAATGGACTCTTATTAGTAACTCGAGTAAAGCCTTCAATGGGCTTGAGTAGCCCATTTTCCTTTATATTGGGCTTTCAGCTGTGGATAGAGAATTGGAGCCGTTGGTGCGTGCTGCATTTCACGATTTTGCTTGGACGTACAACTAAATTAGTGGACTAAATCAAGTCTCTTGGTTGGTGGAGCAGGCCAAATTTTTGACTGAAAAAAAAAGCAGCACGATTTTCGTCTCTTAATGAGAGCTTCTTTTTCCACATCCTTGCTTTTATCGATCAATTGTTGGATATATTCTTTAAGTAACAGGAGGAAGTAGACGAGAGAGTTGGAGATAACTCGGAAAAATTAGAAACGAGGAACTTTTAGTTTTAAAGCATGTTACAGAGTCACTTTTTAAAGACATTATTTTCCCGGTAGTTCATACGAAAAAACAAAATATGTTTTCATCGTATAATAGTGAATAAATTGTTTACATATATAATGCCAATTGAAGAAAAAAATTGTACATATATAAAGGTTCATATATCTTTCCTTAGTGAGGGAATACAAAAAGACTTTGAAAAATACGATATAAGAATTTCGAGATTTTAAAGGTCGATAACAAGAAGATAATTTCTACTTTTTCATATTTGTTTAATCCAAATATGTTGAAGTTATATATAGATTTCTCAAATACCCTTTTTTAATAAATAAAAGTTGGATTTAATGAAACTCGACCAATAAGCACATCATTTCTTCACATTGACACTAGAGATAGTTCATTCAGGCTCAGTCGAATTAAGTTAATAATTTTTTTTTGGGTTGTGCTATAGGTACATAGTACAATACATAAGTGTGTTTATAATGGACACATGGAGACCCCCTATTAGAGTGGTGCCTGGGCCCGCAAGCTCATCCCCAATAGTGAGCCTCCATGTGTCAATTATGGACACCATTATGAAACATGCTATGCACACATAGCATTTTCCTTTTTTTTTTTTCCTCCATTGTTCTAGGTAGCCCAATTAGTTAAATACTTCTAGTCATTCTCTACCAACCCTACCCATGTTACCTCTTGTTCTTGCGATATTAATGTCTATTGCTAGTGAAGGACTATTGGAATTGGAAGTTTCATACCATCATAACGAAATTAGTTGACTTTTGTTATAATGTTGTCGACGTAACAATAANGAAATTAGTTGACTTTTGTTATAATGTTGTCGACGTAACAATAAAATCCTATTAGGGCATGATATTTTAACTGCATTTATATGAAAAACTCGATCTCCCACTAAATAAGAATATAATGTTCAAATAAACACTTTTAACGATAAATATGCTACACCATAACAATGTTGAAGTGTAAGGTTAGGTACGATGATCTATTAAGCACATGTTTAATAGAAATTAAAATTCAGATTTTAATATAAGTTAATATCAATAACTAGTTTTAACCACACATTTTATAAGACTCATAATTTTTCAACAACACGTTTCATCAATTCTTATCAAAATCTACTAAAAATATGATTTTAATCCTAACCAAACAGAAGCTAAATGTCAGAAAATTATGATAAAGTAATGTTTGTATGCACATTTTTCTTTGAGGCACCGTAAGATCCGTCCCAAATTAAATTGAACTCCCCGCGAATGGCGGCCAGGTCATGCCTTGTATTTGTCCAATTTATTGCCATTTTCTATCCCTTTCCCATGGTTGACTGAATTGGAAGCATATGCAACATCAGCTGGAAAATGATTGCCATGATTGGTAAGGATTAAATTTTTCTACAGTAAATCAATTTTCATTTTTAACCACACATTTTTCAGTAAAATAATTTTTCTATTACATCAATAATTTTTTTTTATTTTTCAACCACACATTTCCCATCATATCACTATTCAAAATCAATTTTTCCCCCAAAAATCTCTCTCAAACAATCTCTCATTGCGCAATTTTTTATTTTTCACCTTGCTTAGTCCCAATTTATTATAGATTTTTTTCTATTTAGAAAAAAATGATTGAATTTTGTACTATAGAGTAAATGATTCAATATTCACCAATCTAAAATTTTCTTTAATATAGAGTAAAAAAAAAAAACTCATTTGCATATTGTATTTTTGAACAAGAAAAACAAATAATACGTCAAAGATAAGATATTTTTGGACGAAAATCATGATTAAAGATAAGATTTTTTGGTTAATGAAATTTTAAAAATGATAATGTGATGAAGAAAAAGATGTGATAATGAATAAATATTAATGACTTTTAATATAATTAAAATATGATGTATTTATAAAAAAAACTTTGGTGTGAATAAAACTACCCATTTATTTATTTTTCCAATGTACCTCCAGCTTTTTAAAATTTTAGAGATTTATCAAGTTCTCCTTTTGGCAATAATTTTTCTTACAGGTAAAACGAAACTTCCATTTTTAACTACTATTTATTGCATAGTTAAGACTTGTCTGTCTTGTATCACAGAAAAAAAACAGTTGATATGCAGAAATTAATCCAGTCTTCCACTCAAATTCAAACCCTAAAAAGATAATATTTTATTACTCCACCACTTGACCACTCATAAAAAATTTCCCATCTTTCTCCCTCTACAGTTAGAAAGAGAAGATAAAAGAAAAGTTAAAGGGCAGCCATGGACTGTTTTCCATGAAAAAATACCAGTAATGGAGTCTAGCAGGAAAACCCACGTGGGAAAAAGCAAGAAAAATCCACATTGGTGAATATTTATGCAATGGGGAAAGTAGAGGGCGAGCAGCCATTGCCAATTACAGGTCTTGATGCTCAGAGTGCAACTCCAAATTCAGGGAACAGAAATAGGAGTTGTTTGAATTGTAGAAGGATTAAAAAGGTGGTGACTTTTAGATGTGTTTTTGTTTTGATACTCGGTTTTGCAGTTCTTTTGTCTGCTATTTTTTGGCTGCCATTCTTTCACTTTGGAGATAGAAAAGACTTGGATCTGGATTATCAAGGTTGGTTGGGTTTCTTTTATTAAATATTTTATTTTCATATTTTTCAAACTTTTGCAGGCCTTGGGTATGATAATCATAACTGTTTGCTACTTGCAGATCTGTGTATATATCTCTAATGTGTTGGTTAATTTTATTTGTGCACTTGGTATCTAAGTTTTGGCCGAGGTACAAATATTTGTCGGTTTTTGGGGTTTTTGACACTTCTTGTTTGGTTGAAAAATCTAGAATTTCTGCCGTTTGATTTTGGGTTGCGGAAATGATTTGAGCTGTTTTTTTTAAGTTCAACATTTCTTAGCAAAATTCTGGTTTATATTATTTATGTATAGTGCATATTGATGTGAATAGTGCTGTATTTTGATGGGGAAAGACCTCTTCCCCCTGCAGCGTTAGGCTTTAGTGGGTAGCTGCCGTCTATTTGATAGTAAAACTGTGGATTAAATGATTGTGTGTAATCAAAGATTGTATTATTCATATGGTAATCAGACGGAATATAATGTGGAAAACTTGTAAAGCATGGAAAATGGAAACTTCAGAATGAAAGATGACTTATGCTATATTCATGAGTTTGCAATTTCTGAGTTGAATTTTTGTTTTTGTAGAGAGTCAGCTTCTTTAAGTTCGATATTAATGATAATTCATTCAGTGTGATTAGCAATATAGCAATCTGCGTACGAGGTTTTGTGCTAGAATAGCAAAACTGACCAGTGTATATTTGTCAACGCCAGTGCTTTAAGGTTTAATGGATTTTCAAATAGTTGGAGGAGGGTTAGTTTTTTTCTGGATGCAAGAGTATAGTGAGCTTGGTGGTGTGATCCATAGCCTTTTAAGAAATCTTTCAAAGATATTGAAGACAAAGTATGAAATAATTTTATCTCATATCATACTAGCAAGTTAAGTTTTTGTATTGGGGATTTATTTGATTCCACAAAAGGTAGGCGTAAATTTAAGAATTACAATTAGTGAGTTGCTCAAATTTTAGAAGTGTGATAACTATTTGATTAAGTTCCTGATAATAATTTAAGTTAAAATTAATAATTAATTTTAATCATATTTCACGAGACCAACAATTTTATCAATTTTTATTTTAATTTGATTTTCAACTACGCCAAACATGGACCGAATCTTTATTTACATTTACACCAGAACTAATGGCCTATAACAGACAACGTGGTACAAATTGAACTAACAACATGTTTAGCGAATCTTATAATTGCTTATAAGTTGGTCAAACTATATTTTTATCTACACTTTCAAGAGTTTCCATAATTTTTAACTACTTATTATCCATGCAGATTTGATCTCCAGATTGCTTGCTCTTTTGGGTCAAAATGGTGGGTGGGTACCGGTCTTGGTCTCGTTGTTGTGTAGAACTAACAACTTAAATTAATTATAAACTTTGACAAACATGCAGTAAGTTGACGGGGAGTTGTTGGAGATTTTTCACGTCGGAGTCTTGAAGAGATGTAAATGCTAATATTTGGATTCAAACTTCATTATCTTTTTTCGATACAACGGAAGACCTCTTTGATGGTCTTATAGGACTGGTCAGAATTCACGTTTAGGCTATTTTAGTTACGCACATGATATTTTTGCACGAAAAGTGTAGCTTTGATATCTTGTAGTGAAAAGCTTTAGCTTTTAAGTTTAGGAAATACTAGACCACTATTTCCCTGTTTCTACCTGTTGAGATTAACCTCAGTCTGTTTCACGTAGTCTTGTTATATTGTTATGTTTTGTAATTTTTTGTTTGATATTCTCCAGGTTATAACATAGTGGCAAGTTTTATGCTTAAGCAGCCGGCTTCTTTTCTTAAAGACTATATCCTGCAACTTCGGGACAACATTTTTGATGAAATAAGATTCTCCACAACTAATGTACTTCTTAAGGCTCTCATATTACCATTTAACTTTATTCCTCTTTTTTCCACTTTCTACCTTGATCACGTTCTTATTTTCCCGAATCTTAATATAGTCAATTTTTATGACAGGTGGAAATATTATCTTTACAACCATTAGATGGATCAAACACAACAAAGGTTGTATTTGCTGTCGATTCTGATGTGACGACCCAAAGTTTAATAAGAGCCTCCTTTGTATCTTTAGTTACAAACCAATCATTTTTTCATTTAAGTACATCTTTTTTCGACGATCCATTTTCTTTCGAGGTGCTGAAATTCAAAGGAGGAATTACTGCCAGTCCTGAACAGAAGGCGTTTCTTATGCAGAAAATTCAGATCCTTTTCAACTTTACCTTGAACTTCTCCATTGATCAAATACTATATAATTTCGACGAACTTACGAGCCAACTGAAGTCGGGCTTACATCTTGCTCCATATGAGGTCTGGTTCTGTTATTCCTTTATCTCTCTTTAATTATTAGGGAAATTTGCATCCTTGGTCCACAATGAATTGTCTTAGTAGCAAGTTGGTTTCCTCTCTAGCCTTTTGAAAAGGAACAAGTGATTTCTCAACCTTTCCTTGTAGTCGCATAATAAGTCTCGAATATCCCAACTGCCTAAATCTTAATTAAATCTGTCACGTAACCTTCACATTGGTTGCCTGCTTCGTATGCTTTAATTAACACCTTAACATTTTAGTGCATGTTTGGCAAATCTAAATTTTGAATTTAAACTGATCAAATATACTTTTAACCCACACATTTGTAAGACTCACAACTTACTACTCCCTTATTATTCACACTTATCATAGGACCACAATTCATAAGCACTCCCAAATATGCACTTAAATTATGCTCTTGCTTCTTTTCTGGAATGCAGAACTTGTATATTAGCCTGACAAATCATGAAGGTTCAACGGTAGCTCCACCCACAACAGTTCAGTCTCGAGTTGTCTTAGCCATGGGTATTAATCCCTCAAAGTCGAGGTCGAAGCAGTTAGCTCAGACCATCACTGGTTCTCGTACTGAAAATCTTGGCCTAAATCACACTGTATTTGGTAGGGTTAAACAAGTTCGTCTTTCATCCGTAAATGTTACCAGTGATGGAAGTGGTACCTCACCCTCACCCTCTCCATCTCCTGCTTCTTCATCAGAATCTCGCCACCGCCACCATCACCATCACCATCACCATCACCATCACCACCACCACCATCACCACCACCACCACCACCATCACCATCACCAGCACCATCACCACCATGATGCCAGTGTTGCTCCTGGTATTTCACCTGCACCGGCAATGGGAAAAAGTGGATTTATAATGGGTAAAGTCTCCCCAGCATCTACACCAGCGCCTACACCCGTGCCAATGAAGAGTCGAGTAGCGGAGCCTCCCAATTATCATTATGGGTACAGAAATAGATTCCCCTTGAAGCCCAATAAGAATTCTCATACATCGCCAACTGCACCGCCGGTTTATGTGCCTCGAGCAGCTCCTTCACAACCCAAGCACATGTATTCTCCGACACCTGAAATACCTCCAGTTCCAGTTGCAAGCCCATTACCAAATGTCGCATATTCTCGTACTCAGCCCCCATCAAATGGTGAATTCCATGCAGGGCCTCCAGATGTAATGCCCTTAGTTTCATCCTCATCATCTCCATGTGAGTATATATTTGTTTCTTTGTCAAGTTACACAAGAACATAAGAATCTATCATTCTTTTTTCCTAATACAATTTAAAAACGAATTCTTCACGGTTACCCATTTCCCATTACGTGGTTAGAAATGATGATCAATATAAGACCTTGGCAGGAGGGGGTTAGTCAGTGGTTCCCATATGGCAGCATCTGTGTGTGTTTGTGCTTTTAATTTAGTAGAGGTTATCTATAGCACGTACACGTCCAGCTTGATCCTGCAGGCTGCATTTTTCATTTTATTACGCTCATTTGCGACAGCAACTAATACACCGTGCATTTTCGCATCTTCTGAAGGTATCTTTTCCTACCATTTATGGGCTCTCTTGCTGTTTCTACTCGTCGTATTGCATTTATAGCAGCAGAACAAGAATCATTTTATCACGGGTATGGTGCCTGAAAGCTTTGGGAATTCATCTGTGTATCATTTTATCCTAATGAACAGAGCAATCTGGTGGAAGTTTTGAGTGGGAGCAACGCCAAAAGGGTGAGCCTCGCAATTGAGTCAATATATGTTGTATAAATGCCTTTCGGGTCAAAGTCACAGAGGTGAAGGGCCTGTTACGTCTTGTGTTCATTTTGTCGTATACGATCTCTTCTAAGTAAATTTAAGGATGTAAAAATCAGCAATTGTAAAACCTTGGCCTTTTGTTTCTAATCTCCACAAGTTGTAAATTTTTACCGCCAATTAGTAGCGTTCTATTTCATTCTTCTCGTCACTTGAAAGTAAACTTGTGTGTTCAATGAGATTGGTTATACAGGGATTTCAAAAAGTTAACTTCTCTTGAAAGTACATATTTTCGAGAAAAAAATAACTTTTAAGCTTAGCCAAACATGCTCACATGCATTGGCTCTCATATTGCGTGGAATCCACTGTTGGGAAAAATTGGAGAATCAAAGTAAATCAATCAAAAATTGATGGCCCGTGTTTACACGGTTTTTTTAAATCGAATTCGCCGCCTCATCGGAGTGCAAGAGGTTATGATTGGTGTTCGATTTCTAGAATACAATCGGTTGTTGGTTCACGCTGCACTACGTTAACCGCCTACGAACTAGCTGTGATATACTCTATCTCTCAAGGAATTAGGAAAGAAAAGTTTAAGATCAGAAGGAAGAAGTTTGATGTTGGATGGGAAGAAAGCTTGTATCTTTCTCTTATTGTGTTTTCCAACCGAGAGCAATCTCTTATTTATACCCATAGAGAATGAGCCAACTCTTTAATGCATTGAATAATGAGTCACAACATTCAGGATGAAGCTGAAGATGTTTGTGTATTGCAACGGAAGAAACTGATGTAACTTTCATTCAATTGTGTAATGGAATGACTTTTCAACTTTTCATTCAATTCTGAACTGATTTCATTATCATTTTCCAACAATCCCCCACATGAATGAAAATTTGAAAACCAAAGAAAGAGAGAGTGGAACTAATCAATCATGCATAGGATAGGTAGCATATGATAGGTAGCATTTAGCTTTGAACCTCCC